TTAAAACAGTTAATGTGAACAATCCTGTCAGTAACTGGAAATACAGCTGAAAGAAAAGACAAGGCATGTTTGTTCTTTTACATTTTATTATTTGGTACACATGTACCTGGGAACAGACTGGACTAAGGAAAGCTTGGAACCTTTTGGTTTCAAAATTACATTTGGAATTGGAACAAGTTTATTGCACTGGAATTGTGGTGTGCATAGACTGCTAGTGCATCTAATGAATGTGCATGGGAAACATCTCAGCTCCCCATACAAGCACTGTACAGTGTGGGATCACAAACCAGTTGACTCGGATACCTAATACCTGAATTTGTGTGTGTGTAATTGCAAGCTACATTGCAGTTTAAAGTGGGCTCATGCTGTGTACATAGTAAGATGGAGAAAAAGTGATCAAAGAGATGCATTGCACTCTGCACAAAGAAGAAAACTGGGCAGTGATAGTTTGTGAAATATGATTGACAAGGTGGTTGACTTATGGTCACAAATCATGGTCGCCATTGGCAGTAAGAGTTTAAACCTTTGGTTGCTTAAGTTTTTAGGTGCAAATGGGATTGTTTTGGTCGCACCGTAGAGCACTTACATGTATGTATACTGAAGGAGTCTTCCACGTTGAACCCAATAGGCTTCCTTGAGCAATCTTTCCAATTTCCATCAAAGTCTGCTGTTTATCACTATCATTGCATTACATTTTAAGCAGATTTTCAAATTTTGGAATCTAAACACAAATTCCACAACTCCGTTTGACCATGTATATTGCTACATATATATGTAACTATTAAAGCTTCCTGGGAAGGTGCAAATCCTACCTCGAAAATCGGAAACAATGTGTATGTATTGTTTATTCACTTTCTGGAAATTGGTTATCAATAAACGGTTTGCGAGTTAACTTTGAATGAAATCTGGTACACTGAGTTATTAGATTGCACAGAAACGTAACAATTTTAACTCCCCAGACTAAAGATACTGTTGCTGTGCCTTTTGATTTGGGCAAGTTTGCATAGCAACCACCATCTCTGGAATGGACTGGTTCCTTTATGCCCTTCTTATTCATTGAGAACAATGTATTGTTGCAAGCCCTGAGTCACATGATATAGCATCAGTGTTTTTAGTATGGAAAATTCAAATTGTTATGTTCACGTGAATTCAGTGTAACAAATTTTATTCAAATTTAATTCGCAAAAGGCTTATTATTCAGTGCCACAAGGGTCAGTGTTAGGGCCCCAATGGTTCACTCTCTACATTTTGCCCATCTGACATATCATTGAGTGTTTTAACATCCAATATTACTTTCATGCTGATGAATATACCTGCTTTTTAACATGTGCAGTATGTGGTTGATGACAATCTCGCCCGTATGGAGGCATGTATTAGAGAGATCGGCCAGTGGATGAAAGTGAATTTTCTCAAGTTATTTGATGAAAAAAACAGAATTTATGCTTGTTGGGTCACAACAACAATTCGGTAAAGTCACGGTTAACCATATCACTGTAGGAGACTCGGATGTTGTCCCTTCTAGAAGAGTTTGTAACCCAGGAATCATTACATTTTCTGCCTTTTCAATCACACACTTCCTTCATTTCTCAATTGACCACGAACAATCTCAGAAACCTCAGTAAAATTCGTAAACACCTTTCGAATCAAGCAACAGAACAACTGATACATGCTTTCGTTACCTTGTGCTTGGACATGTGCAACTCTTTTCTCTTTGGCATTCATCTACTGACTCAACTACAGCATAAACGCAATTGTGCTGCATGCCTCATTACAGGAACCAAATGCTTCTTACACATAACTGCCACTCTGCAGCATCTCCACGGGCTTTTCATTAAATATAGAATCGTGTACAAACTAATGCTTCTAATGTATCACTCACTACATAACACTTCTCCCCAATATCTGCCTACACTTCTGGCTCTATACAATTCTGGTCGATCATGTCCCTGGTCTACTAACCAGCATATTCTGGCAGTACTGAGATCATACCGATCCTGGAGAGACAGATCTTTTTGTATTGCTGCCTCAGGTTTTTGGAATGGTTTTCCCTTGAACATCCGGTCCAGCACTTTTATAACCTTGCTTATGACCCTAGCTTGTAACAAATATATTTTTTCCCGTACATAACTGCAATTATTTACTTTTACTCCTGTAGCGCCATGAGTGCCTATTTCTCAGGTGGATGTATGAGCTTTATAGATGCTCATTATTATAACTATTCCTGCATACAAACCTTAACCTCAGATCAGTTTGAAATACAAAAGCATGGCTTTGTTGTGCTAAAGTTTGAGTAACATAACACCACCTTTTGCCAGGTGTGGGCTGATGTATCATAAGAGTAACTGAATAACTTTGGTGGGTCATCAGTCCTCAGACAGTTTGCATAGAGGAGAAGAGTTTATATGAGGAGAGATACACATAGGAATAATGAACAACCTAATCAAAACAACTGATTTTGTGATTGGGAAGGTCACTTTTGGATGAAAGTTATCACTTCTGTTTTGTTTCTTGTCTTGTACTGGTTGCATCCAGTTGCACATTTCACAGGACTTTGTTTAGTCAGTGCAGTCGTATGTATCTGCATTGGAAAATGCAGAACATGCTGGAAATTGTAGATGGATTTTCTACAACTTGAACGGTATCTGCAATGGATTTTTCGTAGGCACACTTCCCTGTGACTTAATACTCTTCTCGAATGTGTGAGAACTATTTGACTTTCCTTTTAGGATAAATGTATTTAAATAACACGTTTTAACCAGTCATAATACAGGTGATTCACAGTAGTGCGCCTCCAAGCGTTTGCAACATGTTGACCAATCACAATGCAGGAAATTTGTCGACCCTGTGTGCATTTGAAAAGGGTCGACAGATTTCGGGCACTGTGATTGATCAACGCCTTGGAAACTCTTGGAGGTGCACTATTGTAAAACACCAATATTGTCTGTGGTTTCCTGGACAACTATGGACACTCTATGAGTAAAACGATTGCGGTTACACCATGGATAAATATCTTTCTTGAGTAAGTGTGGTTCTGAGATGAACAGTGTACTCTGTCCGTCTTCAGGAAACTAACCCTAACCCAGTCTCCTGAAGTCTTAACTAAGGACACTGTTGCTATGGTGTCATCCAGGGAAGACACTGTTCAGCACATAAGTGTAGGTTTTTCTCTTCAAATTGGGAACAAAACAATTATTCAATGGAAAATATTTCTGAGTAAGAGTTGTTTAATTGTTAACAATGAATCACTTAAGAACAAATTAAAGCCAGGGAATTTTAAAAATCAGGGAATTTTTTGTGCGCAAACCAATGGAGCAGTAAGGTTTTCTTCCCGGATGACTTCACAGGTTTGCTTATGAATATGGCAATATTCATGAAGCTTAAAAATGAAAAGGTAGTGAAATATCCTTAAAACAATGAAACAAAAACTGAAAATGAGATTAATCAAGACAGACAGGTGCTTTTGGAAGATTTTCATTGAGATTAAAATGTAGTGACCCTTTATTCAACAGGTATTATGTAAAGGCTTCAAAGTGAGAATTGGTTATCAACAGTTTCCATGATTTTTGTAAAGTGATTTCATTTTAATCTGTTATCCAGTATTTTTCGAAAAATTATCTTACATTTAGTGTGAATAAGAAAGCTTAAGTTATTTTCTTTCTGAAATATCTGTATTATATTTCCTTACAGGTTTGTCAAATTTCCAGAGAACTTTTCAACATGGAAGGAGTCCTTTTGGTCTCTTTAAATGCTCATTTAATTCTAAAAAAATCATTTATATGTACTTCTTCGGCTTGAATTTGGAAATATTTATAGAATATAATGCTAATTGCTTTATGATAGGTGCCCATGATAGAATTTTATTTGACTTCAAAGATATTGTACTCGAATGTAGAAATGTAGACTGTATGTCTCAAATATTTAACGATTGTGTTAATAATGGCAACTGATAATACAGCTTCATCGTCACATTGCTGATCCACTGCATCAGTGTAATCTTGGGTCAATTTCAAAAAGCTGCTTTCTTAAGCATGAAAAAACAAAGGTTACCAGCAGCTTCAACTCTATATGATTGTCATGCTAACCAAGACAGCTAAATACGATCCCAAAACAGTATACATCACATGGAGTTTTAGCTGGTTAAGCAAGGTTTTCTCACGCTTAAGCAGGTTTTGTGCTTAAGCAGCTCTATGAAATTGTCCCTGAAGAGGCTGGAAATCTGCTTAAGCCAAATTTGGGAAATGATTTAAAAGCTTTTATAAAGCTTTTGGTTTGTATGGGGTGTGTGTTTTGCTCATAGTTGTAGTTTTGAGTGTATTCATTTCGGTCTGTTTTTCCATGATCAGAACTGTTGAAATTTAGCAGTCGTATCTTACAGTGACTATAGATCTTTGCATCTGTGGAATGACTAATGAATGTTAATAATTTCAAACAAATAATTGCAATATCAAATGAGTTGCTAGAGATCTTAAATCTGGGGAATACAAAGCTGTATTGCTTAAATGGGTACTACTCACCATTCTCACTGAATTCAGAAGATCAGTAAATCACATTTCTGTCACAAATCCCCTTATTTGTGTTTTAAATTCTGTTTGATTTTGATTGCAGATGTTGCTGTGTATGGAGTCATTAATATGTTTCAATTTTACATGTTGGCTCGAATAATTAATCTAATCTTCAAACATTTTGTAAGCTATGTTTAAACGAAGTACTCTGGTAAATATCTATATTTTGGAAGCATATGTAAATTAGTTTTGTCATTTACATGTATAGATTGTGCAGGTTCTCTAAACATACATGTATGTATTGTCTATGTGAGCGGACAGAAGTGTAGAATATATTCTTGTTTGAAGAAATAAATTTCACAGATAACATAGCATTTGTATGTCACATAATGTTGACCCTCCCCTAGTTCTGTTCACCATAGTCGCCTGTAATTGGTCAAAGTCCGATTTACGTTATGCCGGGAGCTCTCATACTCACCCACACGCTTGCACAGCGTACCCCGTATTGTCACAAATTTTGGGTGGAGCGCATCCCAGCTACCAAAAGTCGTAGTTGGAAATAAAGTTTGTTTCTCGTTTCCTGTGACCTTTTACATTCCTGAAAGTCTGAATCATGGTTTAGAAATAAATCCGTATTTTTGAAAATATTTATCAGAAAGTGAGTAGTATTAATGATAAGCCTTCATATTTACAGTGTTTTAAACTGCGTTATTGTTCCCTTCCCATCCGGCTTCACTTTTCTGTCAAACCCTCGGCAAACATAATTTTGTATGTTGGTGGACTTGTACTTTTTGTACTACCGTATGTACGCGTGTGCGCATATACGCAGTAGCAGTCGAAACCACTGGAACGACTCAGGGGAGCTATATTTACAGTGTAAGAATAAAACAAAATAAAACTCTGCTTGTTTGACAAAACAAAAATAGATTAATATTTCAACAAGTGACAAAATACAGGTAAACTAGCGTTTATCAACAATTTCAATCGCTCAGGAAAATAAATACAACTTCAAGGGCCGTAAGGTTACCTCCATATGTATCGATCATGCCATTTGTTGATAATCGGTGAACCAGGAAACAATAATGTTAAATATTGCTCATCAAAATTTCCTGTTAAACCATGTGGGAATGGAATCAACGTGATCGCACTTTTTGAATACGCATGTCTCAGAGGTGTCATTACCAGATGATCGTTAAAATGCTTAGTGTCAATTGAAGCATGATTGAAGGCAACTCGCTGCAGGAGACACCTCGCAGTCGCTATAGAAAGGTGTAAATTTTGACACAGCAAATCAACCGCACAGGCAGCTTTTGCCGACTGCCCAATCTACAACCTGTACTGACTTTCTGCATCTACGACCGAGCGTGCGTAGCATCATCCTTCGGTGATGTGATGTACATGTAGGCGGCCCGAATGTGATGATGAATGAGTGAGGTTAAATTAATCGAAATAGGAATACCGTAAACGGTAAGTCAGACCAAGATCAAACATGCGTACGTACGTGTAGCGATTCAA